TAACACTGATTTTCTCAGGTGTTCAAATACTTATGTTCAGCAGTGCAAGACAAATAAATTCTTTAAAAATCATACAATGTGATTTCCTGAATTTTTTTTTAATTCTGTCTCTCAGAGTGGGAATGCACCTACAATGTGAATTTCAGACCCCTCCATGATTTCTAAGTGGGAGAACTTGCAAAATCGCAGGGTGTTTAAATACTTCTGTTCCTCACTGTATTTAACCATACCAGTGGTTTCCTGTGAACAGGTCGGCCGTTGCTGGGGCCCATGTAGTGGTGACTATGAAATTACTGGACATGCATTTTAGGATAAGTTTGGTTTGGTGTTGTTAGGTATTTTTAGTCAGATAGATATTGGTTAGGTACTTGTTGTATTAGAAATGTTTTTATTGTAGACAGGATGTCTAGCTCAGGCTGTTAAATGCTTACTCATTTTCATGAGTTACTCTAGGTTGTTTATGGTCAAGGATAACTAGATAGAGAGTTGATTACTGTATGACGTGTTTAATCATAATATCTTCTTATGCCTAATGTCAGGACATGTCACTGAATGTCCTGTCAGAATGTTTTTAGATACACACCACTTAATCAACACACACACATTGATTTTCTTCATGTTTTGACTATTGCTATGACCAGCTGCACAGCTGGCACCAGAGACGTCACAGTTTGACGTAGCCTGTGTAGAATGGGGTTAGCCCAAAACAGATATAATGTACAGGCCTGTTGGGTTCGGGGTCTTTCATCTTTCATCTGCCTGCGTGCAGTTTGGAGGTGCAAGATGCCTGAGCGTGTAATGTTAATTTTTACCTCTGTTCATGGAATAAATCAGCACTGTATTGAAGTTACTTGGACTGCCTCGTCTCTCAGAGTCCGTATGGTAAAAAGTACCGGGTACAACAGTGTGTTGTGGAAAAATTATCTTTTAAAGCTCAGTGACTGTAAAATAAAAACCTAACATCAATTCTGAGAGTTATTACATATTTATTCCTGCAGGAAGGAGCGATCTCAACTCAGAATGTCCAGGCAGTCTGACGGAGAGAAGCTCC